TCTATATACTACTTAGCAAATGAAAAACCATATTCCTTTATTTCAATCTTTAAAAACACTCATTGTAAAACCTCAAAATGCATCTAAATTACTAAGATACTAAATTTATCAAAATTGCAGGTCTAACAGCTTAGAACAAGATTAAGATTTAGAAAATCTAAATACTAAAAGCTGATTTTTAAGAAGACGCCTTCATGTCTTTCTCAACTACATTATAAAAGTAGCTTAGATTTCTGCTTTAGACTACCTCCTACAGAAAAACATATCAGCAGTTTCAACTGTGTTAGGTTAATATAAGTAAGACATAAGTAAGACGAGCAAAAAGGAGCTAACTTTAAAAAGAAATATGTCTTAATAATTCCAGCCCCATATCAAACCTGCAATAAAAAATAAAAAATGTAAAGCAAAAAGCATGGGAATATACCTAGATAGGTAAAATGTTCAAATACTTATGATAATTTAACTTCTTGTTCCTTGTAGATAACAATGTCCTCCAATCCTATTTAATAATGTAACAATTCAGTTGAAAAGGATTGTCTTTTTCTGCCATTTTTAAGTAAGTTAATATCCAAAAGGTTCTTATTAGAAGATAACTTCACCTTTAACCATGACTTATAGCCCAAAAGTAAAGCCACTTTTGCAGGCTTCCACAGTGTTATGATGTCCCACAGTTTAATATACTATATTCTCTAAGTACAAAGGTTCTAAAGAGATTAGTTTCACTTTTCCCTGGATATATTCAGTATATTAATGCAGCAGGGATATTATTTTCTTTGGGTTTTGTCAGTAGTATGTTTGATATAAATTTTATTAAGTGGCAGTATATGTAACATTGCATTGTGGGTAGCAGTTTCCTGCTTTAACCTAGCCACATCCTCAGCTGTCATATGAACATGTTTCCCATATATTCTGCAAGTTCTCACCTTTTTCCTTCTTAGAAAGATGACAGCATAAGAAGATGAATTGTTTTAATAATTAGGAAAGCCGTAAGTAAACACATATGGATCACTTTGAAGAACAGTCAAGAGAGGAAAAAAATAATCCTCATAATTAAAGTGTTAATGTCATATGAAACAATGTGTTAAAGCAAATTAACATAAAGGGAGGAATTAAAAGGTTAAATAAAAGAAGATCTCTATAATCAGAGGTCAACAGCATCTGCCAAAGTATATTATATTAGCATGTAACTGATTTGCCTTCAAAGTCAGTAACTTCAAACCTGCCAGCTATTCACTAGTGAGAATTATAATTAGTATGCCCTACTAGGATCTTAAGCATCTACTTTGAGATTTTATAAAATTGTCAAAATAGAGAAAGAGAAACCAAAAAAAAAAATCTGAAGGAGAGAGAAAGAAAAGGGAAGAGAACGAGAATCAGAGAGGGATGGAAAAAGGTTCAGCATTTTCGCTTTGGCATATAATTTCCACATAATCTCACATTTAGAGATAATTGTTAATACTACCCAAACAAAGTTACTAAAACAATTATAGATATGGTGACACACTGGATTTTTTATATTATTTAATTAAAACAAACTAAGGGGAGGAGACAAAAAAATACTTTCAGCACAAAGAGTTCCATAAAATAGTACACATATATAACCACAAACATATACATGCAGTTGTATACACAAATATGTGTCTCATTAAAAGAAGGAAATAGAAATAATCTCTCATAGTAATTTGAAATATCAGTATAACTGCATTTTCTAATATTAAAATTTTTCAAATCATTAATGAGGCTCAGAAAATGCTATATAAACTTAAAACTATACATCAAATCTCAAAAATTGTCAAAAATATTTTTACATACCAAGTTGAAGTAATGAATGAATAAACTCCCGTTAAAATTTCATCATTGCTAAGAACATTTTAAGCAAAATTAAGATTCTTACAATTTATAAAACTCCTGCATTAAACTATATTTCCTATCACTTTCAATTTAAAAGAAAAAAAAAAGCAGAATGGCTGCAAGTAGAAGTCTAAAACCATACTTTAAAAAAATGACATAGAAAGGATCAAAATATTAATATTTATGAAATAAACTACTATAATCAAAGGGGATAATTGAGAAAACAAAAATCCAAAAAGTAACAATGAAGACATATGTAGTATGTAAGCCCTACTGTACTGCTACATAATATAACACTGCTTGAGCAGTGTTGACAAATTTAATATAAACAGTGGAGAAGCAATTAAAATTGACTTTAGTTCAAAGCTATATTTCATTTCCATGGTATTAAAGTACATAATTTAGAGAGCACCCCTAAACTTGTTATTTCAATATAGCAAATACTAACAGAATATAGTTTAGAAGATCTTTGAAAAACAAGGAAAATTCTGTTGATTCCATTTTTAGTTTTAAGCAGAGTATAAATCCATAATCAAGAACTTTATTTGCAATGGTATTTTTTAAATCAGTCTCTCTTCACCACATGTAAATTACTTCTAATGAAACAAAACAGTTATCAAATGTGTACCAGTTATCACTGCTGTTTGTTCAATTTTTACCAAAGTAATATTTGCTCCAAGAACACATTTTCAATTTGGGGGGGGGGGGAATCTGATAATGAATATACCAACTTTAAAGTACATAAGTTCACTATATACTGCCACATTTTGGTAGACCTCACAAGAAAGAGAAAGGATACAACAATCAACAATATCTATTAAACTCTTATGCAGTAAGAATAATTGTCCTCACCCAAGAATTATGTGCAGGAAGGTTACCTGCAAAAAGAGATTAAGTAGTTAAGAGACAGATAGATGCTAAAATTATTCAAGTACATTAGGTTACTTTGAAAGGCTAAGGTTTCTTGATTTAAAAAAAAAATTATGGAAGAAATTATTTAGCAAAATCTTACAGTTAGAAGATATCAAAGAGCCATAGAGCAGAAAGTAAATACTGATTTTATAAGATAAAAAAGTATTTATTATTATTTATTTCATCTGCCAGTCTACTGCTATTGTTTGAGCATATGGAACTATGCCTGAAAGTTCCACAAATTACATACAACTTCTGGATAATCAAGATACAGGTACACTAGCACACCTTATTTATGATAGTAACTAAAAAAAAAAAAAATTCTATCTTTTGCATCAGTAAGTACAAGTTAACTGAAAATTTTTACTTTATTTTTACGTGTTTACAAACACAATGAGGCACAATAAGTCTATCTTTGAAATAAAACATTGAATTGTATTATTGGTTTTTCAATTAATAAAGCATTTTATGTAAATGTTCTGGGTATTTGAAATAATAAAGGATTAAAGGGAATTCCAAGTTCACCCAGTTTATTTTAGGTAAACCAATGTTTTTTAAAGAAACAGATAAATGTGTCTGTATATTTATCTTTATCTAATATTAATCATAAGCAGAAAATAAACTGCTAGAAAGAGCATACATAGGGATTTTTGGCTCTAACACCCTTCTGTTTCACAAGTCCTTACCTCATTATACACCCCAAATAATGTTGTGCAATTCACTGTCTCCGCCCACCGTCCCAGTCATTTACTTCACGCCACTCCTAGTTACTATCACACTCAGAAGAAGCCCAACAAGCAAAATCAGAGTGGCGGCGATAAATGGTAAAAAAAAAAATGCCTAGAAAATTGGTCTGTTTGGCTTTATAATTTCTGTTGAAAAATACCCACCCCATCACTCCCAACTGATGAAAACAGGAAGCTCTATTCATAAATATGAAATTCTCTGCCTATGATATATAATCATCCTAATAAGAAAATGAGTTCTATACACACATGTCCAAAGGGACAAAAAAGGAGATAGTTTCCCAAAGATGTTTCCAATTTTCTCCTGAATCAGAATTAGCAAATCGAGACGGCTAACATACTGTCTGTGTGCATTATTCCTTACTACACACAGCATTTTGTAATTTATTTCAAAGCTTCCATTATAAACAAAAATACAACTTCTGTTAACCCATTCCATTCTGAGCTATAAACTCTATTATTTAATATTTAAGTATTATATCAGAATTTTACTTAATATATGTATAAGAATTGCTATCAAAGGTTCTGTTAAAGTTAATATCCAAATAAACTAAAGAATTATACAAAATGAATTCATTTCCTTGAAATTTATCCAAATTACTAAAGCATAAAGAAAACTAAGATTCCATCTAATAAACCACATTATAATTCTTGCCACATACCTTTTTAAGATACTCAAATAAGTCATGAGATAAAGATACAAATAATATAAAAGAAACTAATTACCTTTAATCTTTATTGAAGGAGCCAGCACCTAATATTGATAGTACAGAAACTAGACAGACATGATTTAATATTTGTAAGGGAATCCCCAGACTAACACTTTCATGACAGCCAATTACAGTCAAGCCCAGCAAGCAGTTTGCAACCAGACCTTAAGAAAGGTAAACTTTTTTACAATGAGTTACAGATTCAGAAGTTTAAAAAGACAAGAAAAAGAAAAACAGAAGGACTTCAGTCACCCAGCAAATATGAAGCAGACCCCAGAATGTGATACAATCCAAAGATGTAAATTATTGTAAATCATCACTGTTGTTCAGAATTTCACACAGCCCCTTGAGCCAATTTTGTTCACTTTTCCGCAGACATAATAATGAACTAAATAAAGGAGGAGGCAAAAAAAAGGGGGGGGGAGCACAGGGGGTGTAGATAGAAAGAAAAGTCTTAACTGCAGACTTCTGCTCTACAAATGCTTAACCTTACAGGAGTTTGGGCTCCTTCAGCATTTGTATTCTATCCAAATCCTCATGAGTCACAAAAATTAAAAAGCTATATCCTTCTGGATGCCAGGAAGGCCTTACCACAAGTCTTTTGTCAGAGAGAGAGAGAGAGAGAGAGAGAGAGAGAGCAAGAGCAAGGGGGAAAAAGCCACAGTGGTAGGCAGTCCCACTTTACTTTGAGCACTGTGAGGTCACAAACCACATGATTCTGTCTCTCCAGTAATAGTGCTTGCAAAAAAAAGGAGTTTTAAAGCTTTTGCTTTTTTGGATTGTGTGAATGCTTCATTCGCCTCACAAACAACCACAGAACCACAAGTGCGGTGCAAACTTTCTCCAGGAGGACAGCAAGAAGTCTCTGGTTTTTAAATGGTTAATCTCCGCAGGTCACTACCAGCCACCGAGACCAACAGAGTCAGTGAGTGCTCTCTAACCACAGTCTATGCAGTAATAGTAGGTCCTTCAAATATTTGCTCATTCTCTTTTTGTTTTGTTTCCTTGCTTTTCACATGTTACCAGCTACATAATTTCTTGACAGAAAAAAATAAATATAAAGTCTATGTACTCCAGGCATACTGTAAAACTAAAACAAGGTTTGGGTATGGTTTGTATTTTCAGTTTAAGGCTGCAAGCAGTATTTACAACAGAGGGCACAAGATCTATCTGAAAAAAAAAGGAGGGACTATGGCATCAAACAGCCTCTTCAGCACAGTGACACCATGTCAGCAAAACTTCTTTTGGGGTAAGTGTTATCATATTTTAAAATCCTATAAAAGATGAACCTGTTAAGCATAAAGGTATGTTTCCTGAATGAAATGCTATCTTTTCTTGAAAAAGCATGCTAGAGACATAATAATGATGTTATTGTTGCATTAAAAAAGTGAAATTGCTGTACATATTTGCATTTGAGATAGGTGATTTATCTAATGTTTAGAATAATGACAAATGAGGAAAAAATTAAATTATTTCACATTAAGCAAAATGTTTTCTGGAGCTATAGAAATGAGAATGTTAAAGAAGTAAAAGAAATAATTTAATAGTCTTGTTAACCCTCACTAAAATAAAATCAGACACTAAATTAACTAAAGCATTAAATAAAGTATTCATTCCGGCAACTTCCAATATGTAAGCAAACTTCAAAAGGAAGCAATTTTACAAAATAACAGACCACAGAATTAACATTATCCTCTACCATGTAAAGCAGAAATAAACCTGTAGTACAGTTTTTTAAACCAACTCAACTAAAAGAAATTGATTTGTAATTTTAAAACCATGCCATAAGATAACTACACAAGTCTGTTTCTAACTATTTTTATACAGCTGAAGCATATAGTTAACTGAAATAAATTTTTAAGTATGTAATAACCAATTTTAAAAAGAACTTATTTGCCCAGGATATTAAAAAGATCAGATGTCTTTAACAACTTAGAATCAATTGTAATTTTTCTATGTAATTTTAAATTTACAAGTTACACACTGCTACCCATGTGTAGTACTTGTTATAAACAGCAGCAAATACTGAAACGTCTAGGGTTTTTTTTTTTTTTCATCATATTCTTGGACCTACGAAATGAATACTGTTTAGTCTCAAGAAAAATAAAACTCTATAAGAATATCTTGCATGATTTAAAAGAGCTGTACCTATTAAATCATGCTGAACTTTAAAAGAAAACAGACATAATATAGTCCCTTAATATTTAATTTCAAATTGGTGTTAATACACATTTATACTTTTAACATTCATTAACTGACATGAAATTATAGCAAAATATCTAAACACTTACAAGATTTTCTTTATGATGTCCAACATGTTCCAACTACAAGGCAAATTTATAAAATTTTCCTTTATCCTTTAAAATAAATCCTTTTGCTGTGTATTCCTATATTAACTTTGCTTTACAACTTACTACTAACGATTGGAGTTTCCTTTACTCCTCCTACTTCACACATTTTAACTGGCTATCAGAGGATCAAACTTAGTTTAGGTCAAAGAGAAATAATTCAACCTGAAGGAGAAAAAGTTTCTCTTAAAGGATGAGGATATATACGTTTTGTATTTTACAAAAAATGCAGAATTTCTTTAGTGACTCAAGTGCTGGAAGAGGGTCCTCCTTAGTTATAACACATCCAATACAATCACCACAGGCTACTTTTTAAAAGAATTTAATGGTAAATAGTAAGCATTACTTCAAAAAATTTTACATTAAGGAAGCAATATATATATATACAAATAGGGTGCACTAAAGACCAAATTATAATTACAATTAGGCTTGGGAAATTTTACTGTTACTAACCAAGATAGGGGAGTGGGGGGAGTTAAAACTATTGTTATATGTAGGGATAACTTGAAACAGGCATCCCAAGCAGTTAGGATACTCTTTCACAATATTACTGGGCTTTTTAAATTAATACATTCTTCTAACCAGTCCAGGAAGAACAAATTTCCAGGATACTGTAGCAACAGAAGTAAAACTATTGATAATGTCACAAAGAATAGGTTATAATGTTCACTATTCTATCATAAGGGGTCTTCTATTTCTGTGACATCCTTAATAACTATTTTCACAGTAAAATTTCCAAACAACCCAGTTTTTAAACAAGGTATAATAGTGAGCTAAATAAAGATCTTCTATTACATGTCAAGTTTTTAGACATCGTAACTAATTCTTCCTGTTCTGAAAAGTGGAATTTGCTCTATCCTCCTCCCTATCTACTATCCACCCCTCAATTCAACAGTTTTTCAGAGCCTGGACAGAGAATTTAACATGAACCCACTACAGTGAACTAATTACAGGTGGACAGAAGTTATCATCAAATTGCAAACATTTTCCCATTCTATAATCTATTTAAAGTCTAAACATCTCACATCAGGCTTTAAATACTTATGTAATGATTATCTAAACAATCTCGAAAAATATGTGTTCTGATTCGTAAACTAGTTTTGCTTTTTGGTTTTGTTTTTTTTTTAGCTTAGGCTTTTCCTACATGAGAGATGTAGTACAAGCTGGCCAACTGCCTCACATCTGAGGTAGAGAGAGACAGAGACAGAGACAGAGACAGAGACAGAGACAGAGACAGAGACAGAGACAGAGACAGACAGACAAAGATAGAGAAGGGACGAAAGGGAGGAAGGGAGTGAGGGTGGAAGAAGTATTTCAGCGTCCTTACTTTCTCAGCATACTACTTTTCTTGAATTAAAGTAGATTTTTTTTTAAATCTGCACTACTCAAAATATGCCCACTATTTATCATAGTGTAGAAAATGAGATGTAGCTCTTGAAATATCTGAGAATTAGGTATTTATGAAAATATATCAATTGACTGACTAAATTTCTACATATCACCTTTGTAATTGACCACAGTGACTGACTCAACTCAACATTATGTATAAATACTATTTTCCAAAATAACACTTCTGGCATATAGTAATATATACCAGATTTAATAATGACAACATGTAGTAACTTGCTACCAAGTAAGAGTTAATTACAAAATCCACAGATTATTTTAAAAGTCAAAAACATACACAAATCACTCCAAAAAACATTAAAAGCTAAAAATGTCAATACAATTTCCAAAGAAAATGTCACAAATCATTTTAAGTAGAAATTTCCAATAGTATATATTTTAAAGTATAATAAATAATACAAAGTTTACATGAAAATATTAAATATTTGGCTTTTAGATGTCTTTATAAAATATTTAAATTTTTTTAAAAAGTGTTCAAAAATGTCTTGTAAATCTGAATGAACCTCCTTAGTCTCTAAATCACACAGCATGAAAAATACATAATTACATTATGATAAATTTCAGTTATTTTAGAACAAAAAATTAATCTATTCAATTACACCCTTCCAACTAATCACTGATAGTTTGACTTGTTTAAATCAGTCATGCTAAACTTAAATTCAGTAAGATAGAAATGTTCCAGTTTGTTAAAAGAACACTGAAATATTTGATGGTTAAATAAACTGCAGAAGGGGGAAAAAGCTAACTCATTGAAGGCACTAAGATTTTATCAAACACACAGAATTAATCTTTATTGAATAGAACCATTCACAAATCAAAACTCACTGTACTTCAATACTTTCAAGCAGCGCTAATCAATTACAAACCTTTTCTAGTGCTTCAAACCTCATGTGCTTTCAATTTTATACACTGGTGGTCCCCACGTACTGTATTGGGGTTGAGTTAAGACATTCTGTATCACAACTTTTTTTTTTTTCCAACAAATATTCATCTAGAAGGGCTTTTTCCCTCTCAAGAGCTGCTCACATGAAAACTGTGGTAATAGTTTTATACTGTACTTCTTTGTTGGAGCAAAAGGTTAAGGGTTACCTAAATACCTCAACTGTATATACAAAAAAAAAAGGAAAAGGTAAGTATTCATATTAAAATATCCAATGGGACTGAATTATTTATTTTTGCATTTCCTATGATTAATGATGCACCCGTGCAAACATGAAGACTAATGGCAAAACAGGGTAACATCTCAAATTCTCTCCAAATCATACAAACATCATCCTTCCATGCTGTTCTAACCCTTATTATAGGATACTAAAAATCTAACAACTCTTAAGTTAGTAGTGAGGTCATGTGGTAAAACTTCCTCAAAAGCATTAAAATTGCAAATTCTATTACCTAACATATGTCTTCAGAGATATTTTTATAAAAGCGATTCACTGGGCCAGTTTATCTCTAGTGCCTTTTTAGAATAGTACACATATGGTCAAATAGACAAATACCTCAACAGGAAAATAATCCTTCTTGTAAATAAAAATTAGAAACATGACAAGGAAAAGTTATTTCAGTTTTAGCCATTTACCATGCTGGACTTATTATTAAAAGGGTGCTACAAAAATTAATGTTAATTTTGGCAGAACAGGTTACCTTCCTAACAAGTTACCTTAAGGCACTATTTTTGTCTCCTATACCAATGAATTCCACTGGCAAAATTCTACCCCCAAAAATCTGTTATTTAACTCCCAGAGTAATGGCAACAATAAACTCAATCATTCAGCACTTTCTAAAGAATAAAATATTCTAATTTAACTGTTTTAAAGTGTATGGAAATACATGAAATCTAAAATGTTTCATATTTAAAAACATATCTTCAGAAGAGGAAGTCTCACATATAATGAAAATATATTACTTAATACAGTTTACTGCTATGTTTTAAAGGTTAGAGAATTAGTGGATATGCATTTTGATCTGTGTTACAATTAGAAAATAATGGAGAAATGCTATTCCTTTTTCAAAGGGAGTTTCCTTACAATTTAACCCTGTTGATCACAAGCTTAGTTCCTTTCAATAGCAACACATAAAACAGGCCATACACTCACACATAACTTTTTAAAGACCTGTATAGCAACTGTTATTACACAGCATACAGTATCTTTACCTGATGCCAAATTTTCAGAAATTTCCTCGTCTTCATACTATTTTATTAAAGACATAGGATTCAAGGTTTGTAAATATTGGACGGATCTAAACAACACTATCAAATACTTCAGTTTACTACTATCATTAAATAGCATGTCAAATTTACACCATATTTGTTTATACATACGCTTTTTTACATAATAAATGAAATCCTACAACTTAATACAATATATAAAACAACATCCATGTAAGATAAACTGTAGCATTAAGACTCTTTTAAAGACTAGTTCCTACATAAGCACTATTTATAGTGAAAAAATTCATTATCATACATCTCCCATAATACTCTATATTCTTGTTA